GAGAGAGAGAGAGAGAGAGAATCTCAGAATTTGATAGAAACATATATTTGAGAGAGCAATCTCAACATTTGGGCGTGTGAGAGGAGCTGAGAGAGAGATCTCAATATTTGGGCTACTCCAAGTGTGGGAAGCTGAAAATCATAATGCAATGGACCTTGGTACCCGTTGAAATCATCTCTCTTACATTTTCGAGCCAATAGTTGACTTTGATTTTTGTTTTTCTTGTGTTCGGGAAGTAGTTTCAAAACTCGTGGATTTCTTTTAACTATTTCTATTTTTGGTTAACAAACATGTTTTGAAAGAAATCTTTGTTGGAGATTTCAGTGTCAATTTCTTGCAAAAGTAGTGCATTATCTCCTTGAAAGCAGCTATTATAAACTAACCCAAAAAACAACCTTTCTTGATTCATTAAGGTATGTCACCGGTCTAAATAATAGTTCTATGTATAATGAAGATGAAATGAATAAAACAATTTGTTTAAAGAAATTGGCCAACAATTTCATAAAAAAAAGGCAGTGAGTGCTCAATCCCCTCTCTCTTCTCAGCATTCGATAAAACCCCGAAAGTTCCAATCATATCCCATCTTCAACATGTGGATGATAGCCTTGACTTCTTTCGCGGCGTGGAAAGGAATAAACTAATATAGGCCTTACTTCATCTGATACAGTTGGTGATGGCGCTAAAACTTCCTTTTTAGTCTCATAAGTGGATAGGGAGTATACCAAAAATTTCCAGTTTCAGGGGCTGAGTGGATAGGGAGTATACCAAAAATTTCCATTTTCAGGGGCTGAGTGGATAGGGAGTACACTAAAAATTTCCAGTTTCAGGAGCTGTTTCAAGCAGAGGGAAAGCCTAAGGTTAAAGATGTGTAAACTATTAGTGGGAATACTTGATGGGTTGTCACACTTAAATATGGAAGGGTGCATGAAGGGATGGCTTCCCAATTCTTGCTTCAATCAATTCCTAGCCAGTTTAACTATGCCCCAAACAGCAAAGATAAGCTGACTTGGGAGCTAAGTCCCTGCCGTAACTAATGGTAGGCATGGTGTTAGGAAAAACCACCACCCAGTGAAAACCTACCATAAGTAGTTTGAGGCTGGGTAAAATAAAAGGAAGTCTAATTAGATTAGGAAATCTTGATTAAATCTCGAAGTATTGTGATATATGGGAAGTTATCCATGTGTTATGACATTACTTACTACATATGTTGAATGACAGAAAAAGATGAATATGCCCTATTTGAGGTCACTGTATTGGCGAAGTGGCTTCCTCTAGAGAGATTTAGAGGCAAGATCCTCCTGTATTGAGAGGTAACACTTCCACATGGAGAGAAGTGAGCTTCCTAGAAAGAAAATTATTTTGATGGTGATATGTTTGTATTTTTGTAGAGAAATGACTTTTATGAAAATTATGGGTGATATCCCCTTTTATAGAGAAAAAGTATCGGTTTTTCCGAAGGTACTATTCCTAAATAGTGGCTTTGCTAAGGGATAGATATGGGAGATAGGCGGGTGATGTTGGTTGGCAGAGCAGGTCTAAAAGAGTTGTTCAATTGGGTTTTGTTGAGAACTAAAGCGGAAACTCCATATCCCAAAATCTTTGATGTTACTCTCACCTGTATAATGGATTTTAGTTTTTCATGCCCATTGATGTAGCCCATTTGTCATGAACCACGGAAATCTGTGTTCTTGTGGCGTATGTATTTCTATACTTTATTCTCATGCCCATGTCATAGTTGTACTAATGTATTTTTTTTAGCTGGTTAACTATGCGATCCCGGTGAGATATAATATTCATGGTTTCTATTTCCACATATACGAGTCATGAATCCTAACAACTACTTAGGTAAAGTCAAATGTTTGGCTTCCCCCATAAAAAGCACTGGTCCAGCTAAATTTTGATGATAGGTTTATAGGGAACCCTTGCCTGGCTGGTTATAGTGGAATTGTTGGGAAATGAAATTGGTGATATGGTCTTCTCCTATACTGGGCATAGGTCCATGTGTCCGGGGTAAAATTAGAGTTAAAAGCAGTTATGAGTTATGCAGGGTGTTAATTGCCTCCTTCCATCTCATAGGAACTTATGAAGATTAGAGTGCAATAAAAAAGATCACTAAAATGGATCAGATATTACTTGGCCTAGAAATACATGATCATTTACAGTCCCTTGAACCACTTTCTCAATATTCTTGCAAATAAGTAGCTCATGCACATCTATATGACCTAAAAACAAACTCTCAATAATATGTAATTCATTTTTAGAAACGAAAGATTTTCATTTATAGCCTAACATGCACTAGTAATAGGTAGTTATTTTTTTGATATATTAATGGTAGGAATAGAAGGTGGGACATAATGTTGAGGCATTTACCCCCCTAATCACTGAAGCCCCAACTCAATTCCCAATAATACTGGATAGTCCGCTATTGCATTCCAATGTAAGACCCCAAAGCATACTTTTTCCCGTATATGTCACTCTTGTTTTAGGTAGCAAATCCAAGGTCGAGCAGGTCTAAGATTATAAGAACATTTATTTTTATGTTAAGAAGGTCACAATTATTATTGCATGTTGAATGTAAAATTAAGTAGTTTGTGTTGTGTTACTAATTAGGCACAAAATCCAAAATAAATTTTTTTAAAGGTTGTGACATATTTCAATATTTAAATTTCATATCCAATAGCTAAGAGTAATTCTAACCTTTTTGTATTAAAATTAAATGTTCTTATAGTATAATTCTTGTAAGATCATGTACCAAAAAATACGAGAGTAATTATTAAAATCTCAAATCTCATTCATAAATTGAGTTTTCCTTTTCTAAAAGCGATCGCCATATTTTCCCCAGTCTTTTTGTGTTTCTTATTTTTAATTCTATGACATTGAAATTCTTTGATTTTTCTACTTTATAAATAGCTGATTATTTTTGCGGCCTCAATAACAAAGAGGTGCGCTTTCTATTTTTCTATGCTTGCGTGTAGTACACTGTCATTTATTTTCCCCTATAGATCAAAGAGAAGTTTATGTCAATATCCTTCCAAATTATCGTGATTTATTAAGAACCTCCATAAAAAGGAATTTTATTTTTCTCACATTTATGTCCCCTTTTTTCTAAAATTTTTTATTTTTCTATATTGTCCTTACTTCAGACATGTAAAGTCTGAAATTCAACGCAATAGTCCAACTTCGTATTCAAATTTTTTATTTAAACATATTTTGGACTTTGAAAGTCTGAAATTGTTCAAAATCTTAACTTTGAACCTTAATGGTTCGAAATTGTTCCACTTCGAATGGGGCAAGAACAAACAATGGCACCATATGGGTTAAAATTACTAACAACATACTGAAATGGAATAACTTCATAACGTCATATGTTAAGGTTTGAAATAACTTTGGATCTTCAAGATCCAAAATAGGTTTGAGCAAAAAACTTTTCAAATCTGAAGCTGAACTCTTAGGTTAAATTCAGACCTTCAAAATCTAAAATAGGGGAAATTTAGAAATCTAATTTTTTTTAAAAAAGGTAAGAACATAAAAACAAAAATTTTAGAGGGATTTATTTAATAACAGTAATTTACATTGTACTGATGCAAAAGAGGGTATAGAATAAAATCTGGAAGTTTCTCTTTTCTTTACATTATATAATTGTAGTTGGATAACCCCGTTGCCTTTGTTAAAGTGTAAACAATATGTAATTAGTTTTTTGAACTTCAAAACTGTATCCTTAAATAACGATTCTGGTTTCATGACATTCTAAGAAACAGATATTCTTTAAAAAAAATTAACTTGAGATCTCTTAATTGCAATAATCATGAACTCCATCTATTCGCTAATTTTTATATTTAAACACAAATTGATTTGAGGGAATTTATAGAAAAACCATACTTTATTTTTGAAATTTTTAAGTAGTTTCATACGTTTTATATTTTCACTTACATCTCACTTTTTGGTAGTGTAGATTGTATTTTAATTTTTTCTCTTTGTCTTGGATTAAGGTCAACTTTAGTATTTTCAAATTTTTTATTATCACATACCTATAAAAATTATTAAAAATAATAAATAACCAAACTATTGAAATTGTATATTTTGATGAGATATATGAACATATAGAATTTATGCTTAATCTGATGTATAGAAAAAGAGAAAAAAATTAAAATACACTCTATGCTCTCAAAAAGTAGGACTTGAATATTGACTATGAAATATATAAGACCATTTTTTATCCAAAAAAGAAACCAAGTGTTTTTTTTTTATAAGTTTCTTGATTCTAGCCAGTAAAATTGAGATCAATTTATGAAATGATGCAGTTTCTGTTTCTATTACGCTTGGGCCTTATGGAAATCACCTCGAAACCTTGTATGAAAAACACTTTGCATATAAAAAAATATCTATGAGGCTCTAAAATCTATTTCCACCACCGATTATCAATTTTGTAGCTCAACATCTGGTTATTTTTAAGGTTGAACCCTAATTTGTTTTTTACAATCGTAATAA